CCCTGGGATGGGCTACCTGGAGGAGCTGCTGAGAGCGGGGCCTCAGGTAAGGAGGAGCCTGCTGGGTTGGGGTCGTGAGGGGTCCAGAGGGCAGGCAGGACCCCGGGTCCTGAGCCACTGCTGTGCCCACAGGTGGAGGAGTTCTCCGTGGAGCCCCCCCTGGATGACCTGTCCCTGGATGAGGCGCAGTTTGTCCTGGCTCCCAGCTGCTGTTCCCCGGACTCCACGGGGCCTGGGCCTGAAGCAGAGGAGGACACCGGGGAAGAAGTCTTCCTGAGTGCCTACGACGACCTCAGTCCTCTTCTGGGGCCCAAACCCCTGGCCTGGGAGGGTCCGGGCAGTCTGGAGGCTCTGGGACAGGCTGAGCGGGTGCAGGCATGCTGGGAAGTTGAGGAGGACAAGGAGACGGAGCATGGCAGCAGAGGGGACATCAGGGAGGAGGCTGAGGGGAGCCCAGAGAACAAGGCGGAGGCTGGAGAGGCAGGAGAAGGCGGAGAGGCTGAGGGGGGCCCAGAGAGGGTGGTCAACTTGAGGGAAGAAAGTGGGGGGGAGACAGAGGCCAAGGAAGAGTCCGGAGGTTGGCAGGAGGGTGAGAGCATGGAGGCAGCTAAGGGTGTGGAGCGAACAGGAGAGCCAGGTGAAGACAAGAAGAAAACAAAGACTGAAAGACAGGAAGAGGCTGAGGAAGGAGAGGAAGCTCAGGTGGAAGCTGGAAGGGACCTGGAGCAGGGGGCCCAGGAGGTGCCAGCTGCTGGGGAGAGCTGGGAAGTTGTCCACACACCAGTGGCCGAGGAAGGCAGAGAGGATGAGGGTAAAGTCAGAGGGCAGAGGGAGAACAGAGACCAAGAAGCCAGAGCAGACCAAGGAGATGGTGAAGACAGCGCAGAAGCAGCCGAAGGAGGAGCAGCGGAGGCCAGCAGGGAGCGGGAGAGCGGGGATGGAGAGGCGGAGGGAGAGCAGAGGGCTGGAGGAGGCCATCGAGAGGGGGGCTTCCTCCTCCCAGGGCTGCATGCAGTGTCCCTAGAGGTTGACGATGCCAAAGAGGGCAGTGCCCAGGCCTCTGAGACCCAACAGGCAGCCCCACAGCCACCCCGGCCAGAGGAGATGGAGCCTGAGGGGCAGCCCAGTCTAGAGGGCTGCCATCTGTGCCCCTGTCCCCTTAGCTCAGCTGGCAGCGTGGGCATGCGCCTGGCCTCCACCCTGGTTCAGGTCCAACAGGTCCGCTCTGTGCCGGTGGTGCCCCCTAAGCCACAGTTTGCCAAGATGCCCAGTGTAATGTGTAGCAAGATCCATGTGGCACCTGCAAACCCATGCCCAAGGCCTGGCCGGCTGGATGGGACTCCTGGGGAAAGGGCCCGGGGGTCCCGGGCCTCCCGCTCCTCTTGGAGGAATGGAGGCAGTCTTTCCTTTGATGCTGCCGTGGCCCTGGCCAGGGACCGCCAGAGAACCGAGGCGCTGGGGGTGTGGCGGACCCAGACCTGTCCCGGGAGCGAGGATTACAGCCTCATCCCCAGAACCTCTCCCTGTAGCATGATCCCTGCCCATTCCCCGAGGCCCCTCAGCTGCCTAGAGCTCCCACCGGAAGGCACAGAAGGGTCTGAACCCAGGAGTCGGTTTAGTCTGCCTCCCCGAGAGCCCCAGCCTCCTCAGCCCCTTTCGCCCCCACAGCGCCGATCCTATGCATTTGAAACACAGGCTGACCCTGGACGAGTGAGGGACTATGATTAGCACCAGAGCACTGGGCAAAGGGGCCAGTAAGTTGTCTTCAGTCTCTGGGGACCTGACTAGCTGTCTCCTCAGCCTGAGCAGCGGTGGTACCCCGCTCTTTAGGCTTTGGCCCCCCGACTCCTCTGGGACTGTGGGGGGCAGTCTGGTGGGTTTGCCGCACTTGTCTCCGACACAAAGCACCTCTCCCTTAGGAGCTTCCCAGGAAAGTCACCAAGAGCCTGCTCCTAGGGAGTGAGGCCATTGCCAGAGGGTGGGCAGGCACCCCAGCGGCTTCCCAAGGGCAGAGTGAAGGAGGGGAGGGCAGGCCCGGGCGGAGCCTGGCGCGCACTCTGGAGCTGTCCGGTC